CAGGGAATAAAGCCCCACTTTTAATCTGTCTCCAGCCACGGTGAAGCCATGTGACTGAAGAATAAAAGGATCACAAATGCATGGAAATATATGCAAAGAGGTCTGGCTGAAAATGGCTCTTATGATGGGCAGCCGAAGGCCCGGAGGGAAGTCGTCCACCTTCTGCCACTGTCTGCGCGCCTTGCGAGTTCATTCCCAGAGTTCACGCTAAAGGAGATCTGAAGGAGACGCAGTTTTTCATGGGTAAGTTCACTTGAGTGCTGCACCTTGGCTAGAACTCAAACTAGAAGCTGTTTGCTAAGTCAACCGGTTCACATCCATCTGAAAATGGCAACACCTCAGTTATCCAATGATGGCCGGGGGGATAGTGTAACCAGAAACAGTGCTTGAGAGGCGAGCCAAGCAGAGAGAAGATGCTATGATAACTGATCAGTCCAGTTAAACTGAATCAAGACCACACATCATCAACAGGCAAGGGACAATTCCATAAACTAGCTTGCAAACAAGCCAAAAAACAAAAAGCCCAGGCAGTCCATGGCTAAGCAATAACCCCCCATTAATGAATCACATGAGTAGGCAATGAAAGTGCACATGAATGACTGAGCATCAGAGCTTTGGATCAGAGGTGTCATAACACAGTGAGTCATCCGCACGGGCATGACTGAACATGCAGAATCACAACACGATCCGTTATGACATGATGGTACATGTCCAGTTGAGGACAATCAAAGATTTGCTAGAAAGAGGGAAAAATCTGACAGGGAAAAAAGCAGTTCTTTTTCTGCTGGCTTTTTGAAATTGCATTTCTTAATTGTTGTCTGTACAGAACTATGGCACAGTTTCAAAATATCAAAAAAGAGAACAGTTTGTCTTCATTTATTAGTCTGAAATAAAGTCATACAGGCTTGGAACAACATTTCATTGTTGGAACAACAATTTTCTGTTTTGTTGATCTTTAATGATCTAGGATTTGCCAAAAAAGAATATAAGAGACCAAGAGCTCAATGCATGGCTGGTTAGCATGACCCCGTAAACTCATTCTGGTAGAAAATGTAATTATGCCAATCTGGCAGCAAATTTAAATCTTATTATAGAATATAGTTCTATATAGTTTTTATAGAACTTGTAGAAGACCGTAAACTTAAGGAGTCAAAACACTTGAAAACATCCTGAACAAAACCTAAAATCACTGTTCCAGAATTCCTGCTTCTGTTTCAGAGACATGCTTCATTTTAATAGTCACGTTGCTTTGCCACATCAAACTTGTTTCGGAAAACTATTTATGGGATTCATGCTGTGCCCCTGGGTTTCAAAGTTAACTTATTCATGGTCCAAAGACATACTACAAATTGCATTATATAAACTGTTCTGCTTTACTGCATATTTTACAGCAGGTAAAATCACATAAAAACGGCTAAATTGATATTGGGCTTAACTAACCTCTCATAATGCAATAAGGTGCTAAAGAAAGTTTTTACAAGTATTACAAGTACTTAGGTAAATTAAATGACTTTAATTTCTGCATTGCTCTCAGTTTCTGCTTTCAGTCAGCCGCAGGGATACTTCGGTGCATTTGATTCATTTTCTTGGCTAGATTCAATTTTACATTTCACACTTCTTTTTTTAAACTTCAACATGCTTATTCAAAAATGTATGGATCATAATAAAAACATAAAACATAAAATAAACAAATTAAGAAAAATATCAGTTTCCACACAAAATATTAAGCTGTTAAAACTGTTTTCATCACTGATATAATGAAATGTTTCTTGAGCAGCAAATCCGCATATTAGAATGATTTCTGAAGGATCCTGATGTGACACTGAAGACTGGAGTAATGATGCTGAAAATTCAGCTTTTCCATCACAGGAATAAAATACATATTAAAATACAATAATTTATTTTTATTTTAAATTGTAATATTATTTCACAATATTATTATTCTATCTTTGATCAAATAAATTCAGCCTTGTTGAGCACTGTTGTATTTCTCATTTCGAAGTCGCTTTGGATAAAAGCATCTGCTAGATGAATACATGCAAAATAAATGTAAATGTAAAGAGACTTCTTTCAAAAACATTTAAAGAAACATTTGAAAGATAGTGTATATACTACTTCTATATAGATAAATAAAAAAACTTTCCAGCACAGTGCAAGACAAGACCAAAGTGAAGTGACTGCATTTCATCCCATAAAAAAAAAGAAAATCACTAAATCCAACCCAATGATAAGCACCATGTAATAGTTACTGCTTCACTTTGGCCACATTGGTTAGTGAATTATAATTCAGCTTGGCGGAATGAATCAGACTTATAAGTGCAAAAGTGGTCCATCTCCCTTAAAGAATGGGGGGTTTCTCTTTTCTCAGTGGTACGGTTCATAAAGACACACTTGAAAGTAAAATTCAACCAAACATTCAGACATAATGAATACTTAAAAAACCATTAAAGAACCAATCTTAAGTAAACATCACAGTATGAGTGATGTGCTAGGCGCCTCTGAGAGCTGGTGTGAGGTGAATAAACATCACTCAATGGACATCAAGGGCTGAATGACCTCTATTCATCGGCAGATCAAACCTTCTTCCTCTCTTCAGCAACACTACCTCCCTGCCTGTAGACTTCCCTTGGGCTTCATACCCGTCACAAGCCACTCGACGATCCTTCTTTGATGAATTATTTCACTTAATGGAATAAAGTCATGGACCATTATTAGGTTTAGGCTAGCTGACGTCAGAGCTTCACTTGCACACATGTGGCACACAGTCCAGGATGCCTAAATCAAGCTTATCCTTTTCTCGCCGATGGCATTAGTCCCTCACTTGAAAACAAATTAAAGCAATGTGACCCACTGAGGCCAGACACAGAATGGAGTTTGTCCTAAAAACAGAATACCATCATAAGTCTGAGAAGTCTGAGGCCTATTTGGACCAAAAAAGAAGAGGAGGGGTTGGACAAACAGGTAATGCTATTTATCTCTCCAAAGAAACTAATGTTCCTTCGCGAACTGGGATAAAAATAACAGACTCATTGAGTGCCTATGTGCTCAGGGCCTTGGAGGGACTCTAATGCATTTTCATTTAGACCAAACTCAGATGTTATTAGCAACGACTCTCTCTGTCTTCATTTCACTGTGATCTCACGGCCAAAGCAGATAAAGTGGGCCACTTTCTAGTAGTCCCCTTATAAATCAGTTGGACAGAAAACAGCGAAATACTGAAGGATAGTTGAAATCGCAGTTATCATGGCATCAAAGACTTGCATCTAAATTGTGTTTTCAAATATTTTTTTCCCTAAGGTTTTAAAAATTGTAAAAACAACTGTTGTAAAAAGCTCTAGGAGGATTCAAAGAATGTAATTTGATACTTTCAGCTCATCAATCATGCCCGAACGCGCTGAGTCAGAGACAGTTGCGTTCAGTCGGTGTTTACAGTCGGTTTTTAAAACAGTGTTTGAAACAGTCTGTAAGTGAGATCAGTTCCGTCTTAGAATGTATCAGCTAGTCGTTAAGTGTGTCCCCGGCATTAGGGCTGGGCGGTATGACCAAAATTCTGTTTCACGGTATGACTCATTTATTTTCACCGTAACGGTGTATTTCACGATATAGTTATTCATATATGTAGTTATTCTGGAAAAACGACAAAAAGGGCTTTATATAATAAATAAACCCAAATACTTTAGAAATGAAAAGTACATCACCTTGTTGATTTTTTTCTTTTTCTTTTATTTATTTGGTAAACTATATTGATAGCTAAATATAGTAAATGAAAAACACTCAACTTTTAGATGAACTGCCCCCAACTGATTGTTATTAAATACAACTCGTAGCTGCAATTAAACTTTAAATAAAGTGTTGCTGAATTATTTTTCAATCCCATGTTATTGTTTTACTTCATCAATCAGTTTATGATATCTAAACATTTTATATTGAGCTATTCTACTCATAATAAATTACAGTTACTTCCTTTTAATTTTGTAGGATATTACTAATTTACATTGCTTAAATGTGTTCCCCGGTACAGTTTTGCCATGTCTGCTTATTATACTGTGTTTTTATGGGGCTTGTTTTGCTATTTTTGTGATAACTGGCAACCCCTTCACCTGGAGCTTTAATCAAGAGAGGGAATAGTTCAGAAATAACAAGAAGGAGAGCAGCAGTATGCAAACTGAACAGCTGCTATTGTGAACTAAGTAGTTTAAATTATACGCACCTTGCAACCACGTCATTATTTTACTGTAATATTCGCCTCTCAGTTGTGACCTTTCAACGTGATTACGTAATGCGTGGCGCATCGCAGAGCTAGTGCAAGACGAGCATTTGTGGTTAAAAAGTATATATATATATATATAATATCTATTTTTTTTTAATTGACCGATCGTTTCGCTAGATAAGATCCTTATTCCTCGGCTGGAATCGTGTAGAGCCCTTTGAAGCTGCATTGAAACTGCAATTTAGACCTTCAAACCGTTGGACCCCATTGAAGTCCACTATATGGAGAAAAATCCTGGAATGTTTTCCTCAAAAACCTTAATTTCTTTTCGACTGAAGAAAGAAAGACATGAACATCTTGGATGACGTGGGGTAAGTAAATGATCAGGAAATTTTAATTCTGAAGTGAACTAATCCTTTTATAGTTTTAAGTGTTTTGTTTCTACTTAACAAAGTGATATGTTGTTGCCATGAATGATATGTCTTGCAAAAGTTTGCAAAAGTCTCAAATAAAAAGAAAAAAGAAAACTAATTTTATTTATTAAGTATTTAATTAACTGTGATAGGCATTACCACATGGTTTTGTGACAGTATCACATATTGTTACAATATTTTGCTGAAAAGAAAATTCAATACAAAAAAAAGATTTTAAATATATAAAATCCATGATCCAATGTAACAATATGTGATACTGACGCAGTGATAAAAGATTTCTGTCATATAACCCCTGACCCTTCACAACACACTAAACCTGGATTAGTGATGCTGGTTCATAGTGAAAGTGGTCTTACCTTGAAGTTGCATATACACGTTATTATGTCCCCGATTCTGAGACACTCGCCATCAAACTTGCAAGTGTTGGTGTCACAAAGGAAGAGATCTGTGTCCCGGTCATCATCCCCTGCAACAACCCAAAGAGCCAGAAAACATCATGAGTTTCTGCATAAACACAGCAGTGTCAAGACACGACTAGAGATGTTTGTTCAGACACTTCTGATAAAAATAATTCAGCAGAACTATCGGAGCGAACACGTCATCCCAGCAGGATGGCTGGCAGGGCTTCTGAAAGGTTCATCAAGTTGCGATGAGCACCTCCATTTGCCAAGACCATATTTTGCTCTTGAGACATTTTCTTATCGGTAATGAAACAAGTGTTCATGGAGGAATAATGATTCAGCACACGGTGAACTTCTTGGAATAGGCGCATGAGAACCTTATTCAGCTTTTATAATAAGCTGAGTACAGTCTCTGTGAAATATTCTCATTTTGCTGAGGAGCTGGACAGACTCCGAAAAATAGCACTTCATCAAAAATCAAGAGCTCGCAGACAGTTTAAGTCCACAAGGATTCCTTAAGATGATTACAATTAAGATGAGTTGTTTCTAAAAACAGACCACCGCTGAGTCAAAACCTAATTTTACTATTCAGCATACAGAAGCTGACTGCTGTTCATTTAACAATAAGCTCCCAAAATAATGACTTTACCCGTTTACCCGCACTACATCATTCAGACCCTATCTGATACCTTTTATAATTATGTAAGGAATAAGCATCTCTATCCTTTGCTTAATACTATAAAAATGACACAATCATTACGCAAAGAATAATATCTCATGAAACATTCCATATTACCCGCATATATTCCGACTAAAAGAGCCATACATCATCATAATAAGACTACACGACACCAAACAGTGGGTCCACGTGTGCCCTGGGATTTTTGCTGTCAAAGCAAATAAGCTTCTTGCAAGTGCTACACAATATTTTTACCCCATGTTATCCGGTGAGCCCTGGAAGCTAGAACGAACCAGAACATTGCTCATTGTAACGACAACACCAGAGGACATGCAGCTACTTTAGGCCCCTGCTAAAGGGCCACATACAGTGCAGAAAAATGTCTTACGTAAGCTCGTGCACTTATTTGCATTTCAGCTAAAGAAATTATCAATGGACTTCAAACGCTACTGGGAGGAAAAAAGAACAGTCGTCAGTTGCAATATTCACATTATGTGTCTCAGTTCTGGAGACCTTGAGAAATGATTCTGGCTTTTGGTATGTGCATTAATCTCTCGTGTAAAATTAGAGAAGCTGTTCATACGAATGTTTTGCAACAGGAATGTTTCATTTAAATTCATCTTGTTCACAATCTGTTCTTAAGGAGCTGTGATAAACTGACATTCAATCAATTCAGCTTACTGAAGCAACAAATACAAGTCAGAGATTTGCCAAAGCTAATTAGTCAAAACCATCATCAATCCCTCAGCTTACTGATGAAATAAGAATTCATGCCCTAATTTGAGTCTAATACTTTTTACACAAAATCTTTTCCTCGCATTCAGGGGGATCACAGACCATTTTTAAGGCGGAATCAGTATCTGCTTGCATTAAAGATGTGAGCACTACCTCTGCGAAGTCATACAGATGCAAGGCATTTTGTCACACCTCTATTGCTTGGCTGCCCTTCCATAGTTGTGTCATGATACAGCTTGACCTCACGACACACATAGATGCTTTATAGTCTGAGACTATAAAGTCTGAGACGTGCAGCATTCAACGAGGCGACAGGAGCAGGAGGGGGAAATGGTGTAATGGATCGGAGAAGAAGTCACAGGAGCTTCTCTCTCACCAGACACAAAATCCCTCCATTCAGTTTAATTAATCTGAAGCAGTGCATCCTGTAGCTACACTGAGAAAGCAAATTCCGTTAAAAAATAACACATGAGGTGCCACCGTTTCAGAAAATATGTAAAAATCTCAACACAAAAGAGTCAACTACCAACCGAACGTGAGAAGATATATTCCGTCTAACACAATAAACACTGATTATATTGAGAGCGATTCAACAGTCTGGACTTGTTTACCAACAAGTAAATCTGAAGCACACTTTCTTTGATAAAAGAAAAAGAAATGTGTTCCTTTTACTGCATGCATTATACGTTATATAATTTAGCATTACACAAAATGCCTTTCGCACAAAACAATGTCTCAGTGCTTTTTGTCCAGTCAAAAATTCATTATTGTATTGAAGAAAAAAAAACAGTTGAAACATTCTTCAAAATATCTTCTGGTTTGGAAAGACATGAGGGTGAGTAAATGATGACAGAATTTTCATTCTTCCATTTTGGTGAACTATCCCTTTAACCCCCCCCCCTAACCCCCACCCCCCCCCCCCCCCCCCCCCCCATCCCAATAAGGTTGGGATGCCAAAGTTAAAACAGAGACTGAAGAAAGTTAGAAGGTCACACTAGAGGAAATGAGTTCTGGAAACAGGCAGTGGCATCCTTGAAATTTTATTACGTTAATATCTTCATCAAGGACACTGAGAGGCCTTTAAATGCTTAACCAGATTTTAAACTTAACCAAACATCAGTCAGATAATATGATTAACTGTAAATAAGCTTTTGGAAGTCTGTTAAAAATGCTTTTTGAGCAGGGACGAGTTACCATGAGCGGAAAGGAATTTTGTTCTGCTCTCTTTAAAGTCTCTCTGGCAGGACAATCTTTCAGTAGCCTGGTTGTCAACACGAATAGATAAGATCTGTTTTTCTATTCTTTGCGAAGAAAGCACAGTATGTGTGTGGACAACAAGAAACATCCTGCAAATTTCAATAAAAATTCCTCAAAGTCATTCCTTGAAGTCACAGAGCAATGATTAGAGCAGCCAAACAGGAAATTACATCTTTCATCCTAAGATGCTCTACTATCTGACGGCCCACAAAAACAAGTTAAAGCGACTCTTCCTGAATCTAAAATAGACTTTCTGTAAGTTCAAAAGTTCTTCAAAATCTTATGAAGTTCAAGGTATGTATAGTAAAAATGTGATGTGCAAACAGCCTGCGTGACACACGGCCGTAAATAAGATCAGTTGATGCATGACTATTCGCAACAATGATTTGCGGAGGTGATTTTTTTTTTTTTTTAAGCTGTCACAAGCCAGGCAAATACTATATTTAACCCCCCAACAAACAGCCTTATACTGACATTTAGTACAAAACACAAGTACGTGATATGGACTTAAGGAAAGTTATAGAGTTTATAGTATAGTATTATAAGATAAAAATAAATAATAATAAAGTGGTTAAAATCATCAATAAATATGTGTGCCACTATAATGTCACTAAGCAGAACTGTCAAAATAATGACTACATTTTCAAATACTTCATTCATTCTGACATCGGTCACAGAAACAAATAGTCCTGTCCCAAACTCATGCCATTGGTTGTGTTTGGGGAATTTAAATTGGAATTGGGCTACATTGTCTTTAAGCACTGATTATGTAACTTTTAGCCGATGAAGGAAGATAAGGAACACTGGATTTGATCAAAAATAGAGTTTACCGGTGACTCACATGAAGAACAGCATTACATCAAACAATAACTGACAAAGGACTGAACAGAACAGGGAGTATAAATACACAGGCTGAAATGAGGGAACTAATGAACTAATCAGGGACTAACAAGAACAGGTGCAGACAGGACAGAACATAATAGTGACAGATTAACTATAGACGAAAACATTTTAATATAAAAATAACTACACACTTCACATTAAATTAACTAAGATTGTGCACCCAATCTATTTAGTAAATGATTGTTATATAATGCATGTTATCTTATTGTGAACAATTCATCCATATTATGTTTAATTTTTATGTTAATATATGATATATCTTAATATGATATTATATATATTTTAAACTCATAATTGTTAATCAAAATGTCATACCTTGTATGCCAGACTTCTCCAATCATTAGACTGTTTAAATCCCGGCCATCCATAATCGTCTTTACATTTTGCACTCACTTTTTAGTGCAACACCCACATCTCAAAATCCAATCAATAACTTATTCATAGAGCCATTATTTTTTATTTAAATCTTTTTTGATAATCCGTTACACTGGAATGCGTCACAATGTGGAAGAAACGATCTTTTGCTATACTTTCATTTTATTGTGGAATCCTATGCATCCTATTAGGCCAGATTTGCATATTTCCCCAGAAGTTTGGTTTGTCATTTTAAGATTCTGAAGCAAAACATTCTGTTAAGAACTTTATAATCAGTATAACCTTTGGAGCAGCATAATTTGTCATATGGCTTGGCCACTTTTGCATAAAAGCTATTTAGTGGCTAATGGATGGCAATTTAAAACAAATGGGTTGTGAGTTACAGCTGTAGCTTTATAGTGACAAGGTGAAGTGCAGATTAATGCATTCAGTTTAGAGAATGTACGCAGAACTTCACAACATACTTATGAATAACACTAGACTATACTAATTAATATTTTCACCTCCAATATTATAGCCAACAAAATCCACTTCATCAGCAATGGAGCTCTAACAATCCTAATTAAAAGTGTTGCCAGTACCACCTTCAGCTGCTTGTTTCTTTCATCTGCAGTGAAATAAGAAACTTTGCTTGGCTCAAACACCTGGTATTGCAGGTCCACTCGCTCTCCTCGAGTGTTGTAATTTTATCAAAACATACTAGAAGTGTGAGCCAATGTTACGTCTCACAATGTGCCAAACGGGTGAGTATCAGGGGAGATGCAGACTGTTATTTCGGCCTTGCAGTGAGGTGAATAATTTAAAGGAGCAAGCTGACAGAGACACAAATATTCTAAAGGTGAAGTATAAACAACTCCTGTGAGTGAGACATCAGACCAGTTGTCTGGCCAGTAAAGAGCTGGAATTCAAACCCCAGGACATTGTTATCAGTTAAAAATGTTTTTAGCTTTTGTTTGAGGTGTAATACAAATATCTAAGAATGTAGTAGAGAATTTCTCTACAGATTCTGATCTGAATCCTCTACTACGCAACACCATTATTTAGAGATGGAGTGCATTTTGAAAAATCTCGACACTTTGTAAGTAATTTGAAAATACTTTGATAATTTGAAAACAATCTATCCCTTTAAGAGTTTAACTAAAAACTGGCAGTTAATGTTGTTGTGTCTCTTCAAATTAATAAAAGTCCCCTATCAGTTGTAAGTCACTTTGGATAAAAGCGTCTGCTAAATGATTAAGTGTAAATGTAAATGTAAATCTCCTCTCACCTCACCTGCAGCTGATATAAAAAAGCCCTTGGTGAGCCAGCACTGCAAAAAAAAAAAAAAAAAAGGTCTCCAAAGGAGAGCTATTGATATCTATGACCAATACAAATAAGAGCTTACTGCCCTGTGGGTCGTGGGTTTTGAGTTGGTACATAAAATTAAAGCTTACAGAATTCTAATCATGCACAGGGAAGATATTTCAGTTAAAAAGGCCCTTACTTTGCAAGAGTATTCACATCGCTTGTGTCCATTGCCAACCGCCGCAAGTTAGGATTGTTGACTAAACAGCTGGCTTGCATTTGTTTTGCTGGACATTATTGCTGTGTTCAGCGCATAATTAAGTGCTGGTGAGTTAAACTATATTCAGTCAGTTGGAACTTCAGATTTTCTACCACGGATTCCTCTCTTCAGACCTGATAAATGCAATAATGTCAATTTATATTCTGTTTGCTCTGTGCACTATCCTCTTAATTCAGCAATGAATTAAAGTGATAGTTCACCTAAACATGAAAATACCTCAAATGTTTTGTGAGAAGACACAAAAGATATTTTGAAGAATCTTTCTATCGGATTTTTTTTTTTTGTCCATACAATAATAATGTCCAAAATAACACTGGACCCCACTGACTATCATTTTGTGTTCCACAGAAGAAAGAAATTCTGGTCAAATGTGACTGACAGCTGTTTGAAAAACAGTCTGTAAAAGCGTTTAGACACCCATGACAATCAGATAAGTTATAAAAAAAACTCTATCAATTCAAACAATGGCCACACCTTTTTGAAAATTATTACAATAGACCATTAGGTGCTTGATTCTGGCAATTAGTGTTATATTTTGTAGTCTGCAATGGTTGTATGATTGCATTTGTAGTAAGGATTTAGGAAAATGCATTATATAGCCTAGCCCATTATCAACACCTTTTTGTAAATCATGGAAACACTGAAGTGGCCTTCAGGCATGCCTGTGGTAGAGTTTCCCACGTCTCATGCATGCCATTGCCATGAGTTGCATAACCAAAGTGCAGGCAATAGGTATAGACGTTTTGGAACGACACCTAATTGCCCACGGTGACCTGCTGATTGATAGTCAGGCGCCACGGCGGGAAACTGCGCAGAAATATGCGGTGAGTTCCGCGGGTCTCTCGCGCCTCAGGGCGCGCGCATGATGATTATTTCACGTGCCCCCGCAATCATCTGAACGGCGCTCTGACAGTGAGGGTGAAAGGTCGGCGCAATCCAAATCAAATCCCACTTAATATCCGTCTACAACGGACTGATGCACGGAGATTATTATGCTGGGTTGATGGAATTGTTACCAAGAAAAGTATGACTTGACTTCTAAATGATTTCTTACACGTAGCCTATATTCTTCAAGGCTGAAACCTATTATCACCATCAAAATATCACCACTCGTTTATTTTTTTTCCAAGAAAAAATAAATATATAAATAATAGTTGTAGGTAAATGCGGATAAATAGATCATGAAAATAAGCACGCAATATAGTCTCTGAGTCTCAAATTATCCACAGAAACTTAATTCACATTTAGACAGAAGGACAAGTAGGTTTACCACTTTTTCTGGCTAATTAGCCTATTTACGTGTTTCTTGCTCTTCATGGGTGAAACCTTGTCTTTGACATAGGCTACATCCGTTTTCTCTTAAACGCACTTAAATTGAAAAACAGAAATGTGGTGTCAGACACTGTAAGCTAGCGATACATTTTTGTTTTCATGAAAAATCATTAGGCTATTTACATATCACGTGACGGTTAAAAAGACGATTAGGAAATAACTATAAGGTAACACACCAAATACCATCCTGACCATCACTAAAACCAACCAATTAAAAACATCTCTTTTTTTTACAGCAACAGTGAAATGCAAAAGCTTGCATCACCACACATTAGAATCAATTTAGGTCCATAACTTATGCTACTTGTATGATAAACAGCCGTCTTCCGTTGTCAAGGGAACTTCAAACCGTATTCCCTTCAACCCAAGGAGCAGCGGACTATTATGAACATCTTACCTGAGCAATTCCATCCAGTTGGAGTCTGACAGTCGCTGAGAGAGGACGGGAAAGCGCCAAGTTGTTGCACAGGGAAAGTGGCGAGAAAAGACAAGACTGCAATCCAAACCAAGTGTCCCACTATCCGGCTCCACTGGTGCGGACTTCGGGGCTCATATAGGGCCGCCGCCACCGAGACACCCATCTCAGTTCCCCCGACACTGCTCACAGACGCGCCCTGGTCCTAATGTTGTCAACTTTGCCGGTGCGCTTAGAAGCCAAGAGGGGGACATTTTCCGACGAAAGGAGTGTGCCCCATGAAGCAGTTGTTTCTGGATGACAAGAGCAAGGATCCGCCCGAAGGGAGAAGGTGCAGATGCGGAATGAGAGAGGTCTGGGTGCGATGACAGGGGAGGGGATGGTTTCGGGAGGAGAGTGGGTGCGAGGTGTTTAGAAAGCAAGGCAAAAATAAAAAAGACGCAAGGGGTGTTTTTGAGAGACACAAATGGGGCAAAAATCATATATCCCATTCGAGTGACATGCCGAAGTTACAACATCCACTGAAGCGCCGGTTAGAGAGACTGTCCTCCGTCCTCAGTCCGTGCGCTCGCGGAGAGCCGTGAGTTTGTCAGAGTCTCGCGGAGGGCCATTCCTCTGTACCTGTGAACCACAATAACGCACTGAAGGCGAGCGGCAGGTTTCCAGACCGCTCCGGATCACGTGTTCTGAAGGGATAGGGAGGGGCGGGGCGGGACGGTGCCGCGGCTCCGATTGGTCGGTAGGGATGCAGGAGTGTCAGGAGCGAGGCGATGGTCCAGCTCGAGCTTATCGACGGCCAGTGCAGAATATTGTACCCTGTAGTCTACTTTAACAGAGCTTTGGTTTGCAAACGCGTGGGCGAAGGGCCATTCAGAGAAAGTCTTCCCAGTAGCCTAATTGAGCACTGCTGCTCGAGCACGGTGGCAGCAGAAATCGATTGGAAACTTGCAGTGTTGTGAAATGATCCCCATGTCCTAAACAAAAGACTAGCCTACTACAGCATAAGATGAGAAATCCGAGGGACGATGAGGAGTTCACGACATTCGTGGATGTTCACGGCGGTGGAAATAAATAAGCAGAGGCTTTTTTTAATGGTCGCGAGGTGAGCAATGGAGTCTTTTAACGACATTTAATGATCACTTTCGCGAGGCGTACCGACGACGATAATAAAACAGATCACTTTCGACCGCAACCACCTCTTGCAAGATGCATGTTTCAGACTTGCATGAAGTAGGCTAGGCTCCAGCTGGTTAGACTGCGTTTTCTCCATCTCATAAACACAGCCCGTTAACGTAGGCTGCGTTTTTGCACGGCACCAGTTGTTAATATAGGACAATACAAATATAGCCACATGATACCCGACCAAACGCGAAATGGCCGAAATCTTCTTTATCTTGTTTAGGCTATTACTTGCTGACTTAATTTTAATAGGCTATTATTAAAAAATATGCAGAGATAAATATGAAGCCTATGTAAATAGTTAGAGAGAAGGCAAAGTCAACGACCTTGAACCCCCAGGGCAGACAGGCGCTACAGTGGTCCCACAAGTATTTGCACACTTAACATGTATTTAAAATAACAAACCATCAAACCAAGCCTGCCAGCCACTATTAAAAAAAAAGCATAACTTTTAAAATAGCCCACTGATTCATGTTTAGATTAATCAATATAAATTCTCAGTTGAAATCTGGCTGATGGCCAAAAAGCAAAATGTTGGTCTTATTTGACCATAGAACTGTCTTTCAGCTGGATTCATAATTCTCCAGATGCCTTCTGGTAAACTGTTGCCAAGCTCTCATATATGGCTTTTTTTTTAACAGCTTACTCTTTGCCACAGCTGTGAGTGGTGAAGAACCTGGACAACTGTTGGTTAATGCAGTTTCTCCAAACTCAGTCTGTATTCCTTCAGCTCTGTCATTGGTCTCTCGGTGCAGTGGCTTCCCTCCCAAGTCTCCTTCTTGGTCACTGAGATTTTTGAGGATTATTTATCCACCTCATGTTATTCCAAACCCGTGTGACTGACTTTATTCTGTAGAACACAAAAAGAGAAATTCTGAAGAATTTTTATGCAACTCTTTCCCACACAATGAAAGCAGCATTGACCAGGGGACAAAAAAAAAAAAAAGCACCATGAATTTTGTCCAGTTTTCGCAGATCGAGTACATTTACGAGGCAAATGAGAACCAACGGCATTTGGTGTTATTGACACCAAACCTGGTGGGAGGTGTCCTCATACCAATTTGGAATGTTGTAAGAGCTTGTACTGCACATGTCTTATGGAAAATTTTATTGTGTTTTTGGTCCTTGTTTGAAATGTTTTAATTCGCCTTTTCACTCACTGGCCTTTATGAAGTTTAAATCTTTAGAAATGTAACTAATTTTAAGCTCTGTTTGAGCGCAGCACTAATAAATGCCGACAACATGCCGACATGAATCACCTGTCCAATTCATAGCAGCAAGGCAAAAAAAATATAATAACCACCAATAACACGTCTTTGAATAGTCACTTTTGTATTTTCTCTTTAAGAGAAGAGCACATTTGGAAACGGTCTGAAACCTGTTGCTTCAGCAGTTTAAATGTGGACTTCTGGGCATGTCCTCAAGAAAAAAAATTACGATACTCTCAACTGTTCATTTCTCTTCTACCTGATCATTCCCACATTTCTCCTGGAGTCTGGCTTCATACCAGCTCAGTATTATTAGCATGGTTCAGAGCTCCGCTGGAGAGCAGCTGGCTCTGGGCTATCACCGACAGACACTCTTGACAGATAAAACAACACACCCTTGCCATAGGATTTCTGTAGTTTTCTCAGTGCGGTATCATGTATCACATGATGGATTTGACCTTGTAACTATGAAACATTAATTAATCATTCAGATTTGTAGGAGACATGGAAAAGTTCATGTCCTCTATAGGACCTGTTCAGAAAAAGGAAGAAATTATTTTTTAAAGATATTCAAACCAAAGGCAATGAGTTGAGTTTTAAAGGACTAGACAATTATTGCATTGATAGGAATAAAGAGGTCAGGACTCAACTCCAGAGCCATATGAAATTAAAAACCAGTTTAAAATGAGTCTTGGCACATCTCCCTCAGCTGCTTTTAGTTATTTGATATAGCAAAAATATTCAAAATCAATGAACACTATAAGAATTCAAAATTTTCAAAGAAATACTCGGTATAATGTTGGTTTAATTAAGTGTATGAACTAGTAATGATGTCAAAGATAAAACGATAAATTCGATTTATAGAAGCTTGTCTTTGTTCTCATAGAACCTGGACTTATTTCAAGTGCAGTATATTCTCAGTATATTCTTCCACTCACGGGTATAGACACACTTACTGTAGTTTGTTGGTCACTGTTCAGTCTCAACATTTGTTTCTGCATTACAACTGTCCCAGTTCCTCCCAGTTAGATCCATACATTTTATAAATCATTTACATCACATCTAACATGTCATCTCTAACCCGGACAGGAAAAATCCCCTGTGGAACATACCTGGAGACTTGACATGGCAACTGGAGCTTCGTGGTTTCATGACTTTCATTCTATGTAAGTCTTCGCTGGAAGAGTATGGTGAGCAGGTTAATGAGGAAGGCTGCCTGGGGACCATGCAGTGAGAAGGTCACATCTCTGGAGGGAGCGTGTGGTGTTTGAGTCTTCTAGCAGCATGGGATCCGTTAATGATGCAGGCATTTTAAAACGTTCCTTTAAGTTCTGTTGGTGCTTCTGTCATCCTGCTGAGTAGCTCTTCTCTTTATCTGAATATGTACAAAAATAAAATCATGACAGGCATATCACGTGAATAAATGATGGATATTGATTTGCTTTGCATGGTATCATTTAGGAATGTATGTTCTGAAATTACACTACAAGTCTTAATCTGATATTTTGATACCCAAGATTCCCCTTAGATCAATAGCTCAATAAGGACAATTTTAAATAACTTATTACATAATTCTGCCACAATCTATAATCCATATAAGTGAATAATTTAGAATGAATTAATTTATTTTATTTTCACAGCTGAACTCCTGCTGAACAGTTAAAAAAAAAAAAAAAACCTCATTCCCTCATAATAGAGGGATGAGCATATGGTTTTGTTCTTTGCTGCTGGATATCACACACAGATTTCAGTACAGCTGTGGATTTTCTCAGCAGTAACAAATTGATTGCTATCATCCTTCTTGGACTTCTTAGACAAATGCTAAGAAAATGATATGGCTTGTTATGAATTTATTGATTTGCTTCTGTATTTGATTTGAACTGCGCAACGAGCAAACCTGACTGTTGCTAAATTTCTCAAATTTCCCAAGGTTTTCAAACTGAATAAATATTTGATATTAATGATGGAAATAAGCAATTAGTTGATTAATTATTAAAAAAATAAGTATTATGTTTACTCCTTTCAGAGAAGATTTGTCAATAAGTGGTGTAATGGTCACATATTTGGCTATTAAAAAATGCAGATGACAAACGTGGAGTAGCTAGTGTTGGGCAGGTTGGCATCCAAAGCATTTTAAATAAACTACCAGAAAAACAAAGATTAAAAGATGTCATACATTTTGATGCCCCAAATATGATTATCCCTTTGCTAGAGACCCTGTTCATATATAAAGGCAGCTGTATAAACACCCATCTAGTATACCGCAAAAAATAAAATCTGATAAATTAGGGACAAATGTAAATAAATGTGAATGCTAGTGTAGCATGATTCTGTCTGGCACCATATTGAATCGGAAAGATGTTTCCCTTCACCTAGATTTAAAAAATGATCACATCAAAGCATCAGTTGGCACACCACCATGCAACTTCACATCTACACTGATGCACCACATTATCTGATCATGAGCTTGAACATGGCCAGTTTCATGAGCTCTTTAATTATAGGACTGTCACACCATAACTTGGCCATGGGTGAGTTTTGCCAATCAGCTGTAGTCGTGGGTTACTGCCAGTTTAGAGCCTTATCGACAGCAGTAAAAAATAACAGGACCTCTGGCAGACTGCCACTTCAAGCTGTCGGCTACACTGTAAAAAACTTGCTGTAGTTATGCAGCTGTTTGCCAGTAACTTACTGTAGATTTAAATTGATGTATATTTACTGGCAACAGTTTGTTCAAAGTTAAATGAACATTAAACATTAACAAGTCTTTGTCTTTACAGAATAAAATTATAAAATGACAATCTAATGCAAAGCATTCTGGGAACCAGAAATCTTCATCAACCTTTTTCTGTTTTTTTCCTTCAGATTTTGGTTCCCAGAATACTTTGCATGAGGCTGTTATTTTAGTTTTATTCTGTAAAGATAAAGACTTGTTAATGTTTAATGTTCATTTAACTTTGAACAAACTGTTGCCAGTAAATAACATCAATTTAAAACTACAGTAAGTTACTGGCAAGCAGCTGCAAGTAATACTGTAATTTCTACAGATTTTTTTTACAGTGTAGGGGCCCTGAAGTCCTGCTGTGGCGAAGACTGACAGAGAAGGTGCTTGTTTCACACTGGATACGAGATGACAGTGTGAAATACGAGCACAAAGATGGTCCCATCAAGTTATTGGGGAACACTATGGTAAGTTTGGATCGAGATAAGTATTAGTCACAATGAAAGTGTGGTGACAATTGGCTGTCAAACTCCAAAAAAGGAAGCAGAAAAAGAGTTTTATCCATTGCAGTTTATTGTGCATGAATGCAACTGAAGATGAGAGATATTGACTATAGCAAACTGTTTTCAGAATGACTGCTATTTGTGGACTATACCGA